AGATGTGGCCGTGGTACCCAGTGTCATAATGTTAGTCTGCCGCACGCTGTCGAAGGGGTACGTTGATCTGTACCAAGCTGCTGTAACATGCTAATCAACAGTTAGCTATTGTTTATTTTCTTTAGTAGCTATAAAAGCTTGCTGCCACCAGGTGTACTATTAGGATGTTAACTCACAAGCCATATTGCACCTGTATGCAATAAAAAGCAATTGAATAAAAGCTAGTTGTGCTGGAATATTAACACGCAAGAGAGAGTACACAGCTGCTGCCCTCGCTGAGCACAGCAGTTCTGCCGGAGACACTGGTACACTTTCCCGTCGGCACGTCCGTCAAATCAGGTCAGCGAGACAAAACGCTTAACCAAGTCCTGCTGGGGCCTTCGCTTCTTCCTGGGGCCCATAGGTTTTTACAGGTGGAAATACCTTTATAAAACAAAAAGTGCAACATCAAAAGTCACGCAAAAGAAAGAAGAAAAAAGCCGCAACAACCATTGGTAGGCGTTGCGTTTTCCTGCAGATGTGAACTACGTTCGACGCCCTGCTGAAAGCGCTCTTATCTCAGCCTCATTGCTGTAGCGACGGGATGTGGTTAAAAGTCTGATATACACCTCGTTGTTGCAAGCTGTTAAATTTCCATTCGACTCTCAGAGAACACGGACTCTGTGATGACGTGGCCCGGCCGGAACAAAAAAATCCCTCGGTCCTCCCACTCAGACGTGTCACAGGGCTTTGACTCGGCCTTGTGTCATCCACTTTCTACAGTAAAAAAACAAGCTTACTTTGATCAGGTCGAAGCTTCATCAATTCTCTTTGGACCCGCTTCCTAAAACCTTGCTGAAGAATCACTTCATGACTTTTACCCACTTACCTTACACAATAAGGCGGAGTGATATGGGTTGAGTTTTATCATCATGGTAAATTGATTTCATTTGTATTTGCAATTTTTGTGATGCATCTTTGGACCTGCTTCCTAAAACCTTGCTGAAGAATCACTTCATGACTTTTACCCACTTACCTTACACAATAAGGCGGAGTGATATGGGTTGAGTTTTATCATCATGGTAAATTGATTTAATTTGTATTCATTGGAGCTTTGTTTTGTGCCGATTTGTTGTGTAGTATTATTGAAAACAGAAATGGGGAGGAGGAGAGATTTACCTCAAAGAGAATGAGGCCCATCATCGACCCTGCACGTTGATCTGACTCCAGCACCCCACCCGTTGCTAGGTTACCACATTCCTGAGCACAGTGAGTGCTATGGGGAGTGGGAGTGGAGTGGGACTGACACAGTAGCCATGGAGACGGCAGATCATGGGAGTGATGGGAGGAGAACCAGCGCAACATCCGTCCCTTCTCGGACAGCAATGCTTCAGAATGAAAACTAAATTACACATCTCCATTTCTGTGTGTGTGTGTGTGTGTGTGTGTGTGTGTGTGTGCGCGTCCTGTGATTTCAGACATGCGTGTGCTGTGTCTCAGACCCGGGGCTTAATTTTTTTTCTTCATCACTGATATAAAAAAGACAACTAAAAAACAATAATAGGATTATTATAATAATAACCCATTTATAAATACACAAATCCATGTAAAGGAATAAAAAAACGCATGTAGAATTAATTTCTGTTCTATATAAAATCTATTCAAGAATCCTGTTTTCAAGTACAGGCAAATATGGGGGCTCCATATATTGAGCATGATACATTTTTACAACCTATACCCACAACAAGTCAGTATGTAAACAGAATGCAGTCCAGTAAAAGTTTCACAGAATCTTTGTCATGTCACGGTTTGTGCCGAGGAGCCCGGAATCTAATGATCCTTTATGAGATCTGGTTGCTCAGATCAGCCTATGAATCTCCCTCATTATGGTGCAACTGTTTTGTTAAGCCTTTCCTACACTGCACAGCATAAATCTTTTTAAACACACATATATATATATATATATATATATATATTTGTGCATTATATATGTGGCATTATATGGCATACACAGATAATAATTTTTGTAGGTGGTTAAAACACGTTTTAGTGCTGCGCCCGCCTAGCACAGTATATTCATTCCCCTCGCTCTCCCCTGTGAGCTCAGCACAGGCTTCTCCCAGACGTCAAAATACTGAGGTTAAAGCAGCACTACCTCTCGTCTCGCGAGGCTGCTCACTAGGCCACTGGCTTAGTCCCTTCACCAAAGGCGTTCTCTTTGTGCGATTCAATTGCGTCTATACCCAGGGGCGGAGGAGATTGGGGGGGGGGGGGGTGAAATGGAGATCAGTACTCATTTGCAAACCAGAATCGCGTTCCTCCTGTACCGCGGCCGAGTGAAAGACTCCATTGTTGGCCTCCGTGTGTCTGTGTCCCCCATCGGCCTGTTGGAGCGTCAAGCCACTTAGAAGCCACTTGCTCAGCCGAGGCCTCTCACGGCCCTGGTAACAATGTACCTGTCATAATGTGAGGCGGGTCCAAAGCTTCAGGCAGCAAGGAGCAACGGCTGCAGTTGTTCAACCACCCGATTCCCCTCACCTGCTTCTTTGCCTTCTTTAAAAATAAAATAAAATAAATCACAGCTTATCTTGCTCCTCCCAGTGGCCTCCATGCTTAACCTGCATGCGTTTATACACAGGGAGCTCACATCTTCTCATCCGGATGCTTTTCTGCAAAACAGGAAAGACAAAAACAGCAACGTAGGACTTCAACCGCACACGTTGATTCAAGTCGACTCGTGGTGGAGGGAAGAATCGAGCGCCAGTCATTAGTGTGCAACAGTAGACGTGTTGAAGATGGGGTCTTAAGCAAGTTGGTGAGTCAGTATCAACAGGAAGAGGTTACGCCGCTGAACCTTCTACACAGTGGGGCCTCTCCCGCACACCCACACACAGAGATACACCCACACCTACAGTCACACACACACACTTGCATCCTGTAATCAGCAGAACCGGTTTATAGACTTGAAGAATGTTCTTCACGGTCAAAACAACGGTCCAATCAAACCCAAACAACCCCCCCCTCCAAAAAAACGTCTGAGTAAATAGACAAACCACAAACATGCTGTCTGGATATCACATCTCTCTCTAAGTCCAACTTCGGCATCGCGCTTGTGGCCTCCACCCACACAACCATTATTACAGGCGTCAGATGAAGGGGTTTGGGCGAGCGGCAGCAAGTTCCCAACGCCCATCCAGGCCCCTATTTATCTGGGGCAGCGAAGCAATGAAGGGATGGAGGAGATGCTCCTTTGCTCCTTTACCCCCTCCACCTCTTCTAGATTTAATCCTACTGTGTTGTACGCATACATGTATGTTTAGCGGGGAAGTGCAAAAGACAACCAGCTCAGATCCCACGACATAATTCTAACCGACAACTAAAAAACCCCACAGAAAACAAAACAACGCAACTGGCAAACTAACCAGCTATTTGCGTCCAATTTGGTGCTGATGTATGTGGTGTATATTTATATCTGGGGATATTTCTAGCACTTTGTTCTACAATGGTGTACAAAGAAGTAAACATACCCACCACAAAGTGTTAGATTAACCTCACACGCCAGATGGTTTGTTACCCACGACCCTCGGAGACAGCGTCGTTGGAATCTGATGGGACCAAAGGTCAGGCATTTGCAGCAAATAATTACGACCCTTGTGTTCAGTCAGAATCGGAACAGAGGCTAAAAATAAGAACAATTGCTGCTTTATTTTCCAACGGACTGCGATCAGTAAAGGCTGGTCATGCTTCTGCGTTGTTGCGTCGACGCACTCGTTTCAATTCATGGTTCTAAAAGTCTTCCGTGTGTTGCAGAGCAATTCACCGCCAGAACAACAGGCGGAGTAACGGGTTTTTGTTGAAGACGACCTAGAGAGTCACGTCTTTGTGTGTGGAAGTTGTTTGTTTATTTATTTATCATAGACTTTATTGCCCCGTGCATCGCCACCGTTGCTTTTCATCGCGGACACATTTGTCCCGTATTTTCCTCCACAACTTTGTTCGGCAAACCGACGTTTGCGGCGATCAGCCTCCATGAATCCAACCCGCTTATACAACCCGCCAATGACGGCTTGTAGAAGTGGTCATATTTACGCATTTCTTCCGACAAAAGTTCTTCAATCTGATCCGTTCTCTCGTAAACGTTCTTCGTTTTAATAATGGCGGTGTCGGGCTATGAAAGCGGAAATGTGAGACTCTGTAAAGGATGTAGTTAGCAGACCAATCGCAGCCTTGTGCGCTGCGGGAGGCTTGCGTTGCTTGCTTTCGACGCAAGCCTAAAAAAAAAATGGCTCGACACACGCAAGGATGCAAGGAGGTGTGAAAAGGCACGCAAAGGACACGCAAGGGGGTGTCTGCGTCTCTCTGAAAACGCAGAAGCATTAACTAGGCTTAACTTTTAACCAATTATATCAGTTGCAGCTCTTTTTGCCGTATTTCTACGTGATGAATTATGACAATATATACCTTGGCAAGATACACATTCTGCAACCCATATCTGCTGCACGCCAACACCACCGATGGAAATGGTTTCTGCTGTCTCTGCTTTCTGTCTCTGCAGCACTCTAGGGCACTATGAAGAGAGCCTGCAGGTGTGTCACGCAGAGATCACAGAGGGCCTCTTTAAGACTCAGTAATGAGCATGAGGAAGGGGGAGGAAGGGGGAGAAAGGGGGAGCGCATTCTGCTTGAGCCTCGGCAGTATACGGGACACTTAGTGAGGTGACACAAAAGCATGCTGAAGACAAAGAAGAGAAATAACACCACGTGTGACGGTGTAACGGGGAAGAGCCTCACTGGGCCAACAGGGTCGGCTTAGGGTGCAGGGGGGGGGGGGGGGCATTGTAAGTATGCAAGTTTGTTGATGATGGGAGGACTATAACTGCTTTGGGGAGGAATGCTGAAGCGCTCACACACACACACAAAAAATAACACACACATGAACCTGTTCCATCTTCCCACAGTAAAGCTGATTGGCTGCAGACATTAGTGCTTCCGCAGAGCTTGTTATTCTGGGGCCCGACGTACCTTTCGTGTCATGGACGGTCTCCGCTTGGCTCCAACCTGTGAGCAGTGAGAGGTAAGCAGCAATGACCGAGCCTGCATAACGAATACGATTGCTGTGAATGTCGGACACTCAGCTGACACTGGTCTTCCTGCAAGGAAACCTTCGTTCAATTTTTTTTCCCCACCTGCCCATTGATGAATTTGACCCCAAATAGAATAAATAATAAAAAGAAAAAAATCGTACGTAGTGGTGAATTTGAGAGACTTCTCAGGTTCCAAGGGATTGTGGGAGTTCAGCGGAGTGTGACCATGAAAAGTCATACCTCTGTTTTTTTTGTGTATTGGGATTTAAAAATGGGTTTCTATTTCCTTCTCATTTCTCTGTGCGCCGCCGAAAACAGAGACCCTGTCGGGACACAGAGACACTCTATTATTTATCGTCTCATTCAATAAAACATGAATATTACCCGCATGTGGCAGCCGCCTTCATTTACACTTCTTTGCGGAAATGGGTCAAACTTTTCCCAGAATGCTCCAGAGCCACGTCAAGAGACTAAAAGCCTCAACCTCTAATGATGCACTTTTTTGGGGGACCCATTATCATGGTGATGGAACACGCGTGTGAGTCGGTGGAAGCGATTCCATACACACAATCCCAATCAACTCCAAATAAAGAAATTACCCTGAAACACGTAGCCATTGTGGTCGTAGTATTTCGACTAGTAAACAGTAGGTCGTTGCAAAGAGAGTGGGAGCTGCCAGCTAGAATCAAAAGCCTTCGTGAAGACCCCACACACCTCTCCTGGGTGGATTTTCATATAATCCATTTGTTCAACCTCTCCAGGTGTAAATGAGGCGACGTTATTAAATGTAGGGCATCACAAGCGGGTTTGACAAAAAAGAAAAAGAAAAACACCCCATGCCATCTGGTAGTGGAGTCAATTAATCTTTTTATTCGGACGCTCTGAATCATTGGGATTTAGCTCAAGTTGGTCGGGCCTCTAGTTTGCATTGTAGCTCAAGCTCTTTTTTCTTCACAGGACTTATTCTTGTTTTATCATTCAAATTAACTACGTCATGGAATGAGTTTGTTTTCTTTCATTTCTACTATTAAAACCGTGTTGTGGCAATGGAAAAAATGACAGTTCTTCTCCTAAGTTTTTAATATTATTTAAAGCCTTTATCTGATGCTCTCACAGAGAGTTTCTTTCAATCCGACAACAGCTTCAATGTAAATGTCACGCTGTGCAGAGTGAAAAGCTGAACCTTACAGGACGTCTCCAACGCGCTACAAGGCGTCTTTTATCTATAAAAACACATCTCCACCCCGTGTGGAGCGATCCAACCGACAGCAGGAGTACACAATGCAGTCGTTGTGAGGCAGCAGGGTGCCCACGGGGCCCCAATTGCGCGGCGAGCCTCCCGACCGGCCTTTATTTACAAAAGAGCTACCGTCGTCGCTCCCAGTCACAGCCCCATTAGCTGCTGATTTGATTTTTAAAGATCAGTCCCGCTAATCTAATTTAATCTGTCTCTGCGGCTTCTGCTGAACAGGCTGTCGCGTATGCCGCTAACGCTTTTGCTCAACAGCAGCAGCAGCAGACACCCACGTGGAAAAGCCGCTGCTGGTTTGTGTGTGTGTGTGTGTCTGCCGGGGCTATATTACATGATCACTAAATGTTAATGGTTTCAATCAGGCCACGTCACACTAAAAACAGTCAACTCAATGAATGCCACATGGATCTGTAATCAAAAGATTGGTGCAGGTGCATATACTGCCGTAAGGTGAAAAATATACATATATACAAAAATATACCGTACATCATTTGTGAGCGAACGATTTGGCAATGTAGACAAAAGAGCAAGCAAGAGCGAGTTTTCTGCTGCTGTTTTAGCCCCCCCCCCCACCCCCCCCCCCCAGTGACGGCAAAATGACAGGTGTATGTGGTGAGGTTGGGACTGCTTTTTTTCTTGAAGGATAACACAAGCCACAAATAGACATAGTAGTCTCTTCTTCTACTATGAGTAAGAGATTCAAATTAATTTGAAAATTAATTTAAAAAAGCAAAGATAATGAGGACAACAGGATGAGAAGCTGTGTGTTGTCTTCTCGGATTCAGCAGGCTGGAAAGCCCCATTGAGAAAACAGTACTATGGTGGGATGTGACAAGTAAATGAAGTAGTGCTGAAACATTCGTCTTTATCACTTGTAGGTCTATTTTGGGAATTGTGTGGTGAAGAACTGTGAGGCTTACCAAAAATACTTGATGAGGTGATCCCAGTGTGTGTGTGTGTGTGTGTGTGTTGAACATGTGATTTAAGTCTTTTTTACCAGCACCGCTGCGTCCGCTTTCCCCTTTCTGCCGCCTGATGCAGTCCTGGCGACGGGGTCTCACAGCAGACTGCTGGGAGTTTTGTGGAGCCGCCTGGCACCCTGAGGGACAGCTGACTCTCTCTTTTCAACAGCAGCCCCCCCCCCCCCCCACACACCCACCAATAAAACATAATGGCACGAGGCTGCGGGTGGTAAGTCATTCAGCTACGCAGCGCGGTCACATGACCGGCCCGAGGCACAACGGGCTCAGTCATGCAGCTGCTCGGCTACTGGGATGGATAACGTGAAAGACGCACAGTAGCATCCACAGAAAGGACACTCATGTGAGTGACAGGAAGGGCAGGAAGGCTGCAGGAGACACCAGGCTTTGTGCAGGCTCCAACCCTCACCTCCCCTCCCTGCGCCCCCCCCCACCTTCTCAAAAGACCCACGTACCGACTGGCATTGTTTAAGTGGGATTAGCAAGTGATGCAGCAGGGATGGCTAAGCTTACTAAGAGAGCATCGGTTGGGCTGATGATGCTAACAGTGCCAACGGAGTAATAGTCCCCACAAACAGTTCTCCAACAGTGATACTCACAGAGCGATAGCCTTGCTGACGGTACAAACAGTGGTAACTTCGGGAGATATTGTTGTGGTAATTGCAATACATTACCCAAAATGGAATTAAATGCAGTTTGGTAGGAGATTCAGGCGTGTCATGCTCGCAGGCTAATGTAGCCTGGAGCGTCAAGGCTGTAGCAGTGATGAAGCAACGGGCTACAGATGTCTGGTGAGCTCAGTCTTCAACCCCGACCGAGGGCGACTCAAATGATTTAACTACATGACATTTATAACGATTTAACGCACCTCCCTCTTGAGACTAATAAGGTTAATAACTTTTAAAAAAACATTTTTAATAAATCCATTAATACAAATTCTAATAATAAAGATAAGTAGCCTAAATGACTGTTAGTTCCAGCCCTTTGCGAAATTGCGAGATTTCTGATTGGGTATTATCTTAAGATGAATATTAATCGTATTATCTTATAATAAGCAGGTGTAAAGCAGAATGCTGGTTTCCTCACGTAAGCAGTTATCAGAGCCAGACACAGGGTGACGAGCTGAAAGCATTTTTGCCACAAGGATCACAGTTTCTCAGTTGAGTGAACACAAAAGCATTACGGATTAAGCAGCAATGCAATATTAAAGTTGGAAGAAATCATAAGAAATCAAGATTACATTGCATCTCCCATTCAGCGTTCACATTACATTTTCGCAGTTGTTAAACTCGCTACATTACAATTATTGGCATCAGGATCATTTCAAACAGTCATAGCATCAGCAGTAGGAACAATGCAGCTGTATCATAGCACAAGTACTTCACGCTTTCCTACAGCGCACTAGTCATTACATCAATTTTCCCACCACAAACGCTGACATAACACATCAACTTCGTTGTCACTGAATTTTTGTTTTTCGCTGTTTTGACTTGATTGCAGTCAGCTGCCCACTCTCAGGTCAGTTCGGGGCGGGTCTCGGAATATTTACCTGTTTGACACTCTGCCCTCTCAATAGTAGCTGCATTTGCAAGGCTTACAGCTGCGGGCTGCAGCCTTTAGATGTATTGAAAGCAACCTCGCAGACGGTGGGGTAGCTAATGATAATGTATTCAGCTGCCTGTCGTTCTTTTTTTGTAAGACATTGTAAAGATGTGACACGTGGATGGCTAATTAAATACAAAATGTTTTTATCCCCGTCCCCATGGGCCCTGACTGATGTGCTTTGATTGGCAGGTCAGGACAGTCTGTGGGTTGCGAGTCCTCACCGAGAGGCTGACTGACAGACGCTGCTGAGGAGTGGATTAAAATGGATCAAAAGGTCTACGAGAGAGACAGAGAGAGATATAGGCAGAGAAAGAGAGAGAAGGATTTTGCCAGGTGATTAAAGCTTCAGGGAGGGAGCGAAGAGGAGGGTTTTTTCTTCCCAATCATAAATTACCACTTAAGAAACACTGCAAAGCTTCTGTGTCTTCTTAGGAAGACAGAATTAATCAGATCTCACTTTGATTTCCTGATGCGGATCATTTTCCCAGAGTAAGGCAAAAACATTTAAAGCGGCCTTTTGGAAATCAGGGAACCACCAGAAAGAAGAAGGGTTCTCTTCACTGCCTGCATAGAAACAGTGATCAGCCAATAAACTTTGTTTTATCTGCCGTCAAACCCAATGCACAGTGGGATCTTCTAAAACTGCCAAATAAACTGAACTGCAGTCTCCTGTATAATTTACATAATTGCTTGTTTTATGACTTGCTCGATACGTCGGGAAAAACATGATCGGCTTGTCCAAAACCAAAGATGGAAACATTTAACGATGAGTCGTCTCACCTCTGTATCGTTGACTGTGGGTAGCACGGACCTATCAGGGGACATTAGCCCGATCTAGCATAATGTCAGCAATTTGCTCACAATATGGAAAATCCCCCCCGATAAAATTGCAACGTGTACTGTATTTAGTTTATGTAATGTTCCTGTAAAAAAGGGATTAAACTGAGCGGAGCCATTTAACAACAACGGAAAGGGGGGAGACAGAGGAGTGGGGAGATACTAAAACTCTTCAGATACTTTTTTTGGATAATAAAGCCAAATGTACCTGTACCATTCTTTGCGGTTCTCTGCAAAAAAACGTCCCCAGTAGAAACCCTTTAACCCTCAAGGCCAGAGAAGGCTACGGGGGTGATTGAA